GAATGCTGAAGGTTGGAAGGGACCTCAGAGGACCTCGCTCATGCAGGGTCACCTAGAGCACGTGGCACAGGGCTGCATCCAAGCGGGTTTTAAAGATCTCCAAAGAAGGAGACTCCACAACCTCTCTGGGCAGCCTGTTCCAGTGCTTTGTCACCCGCACAGTGAAGAAATGCTTCCTTAAGTTCCTGTGGAACTTCCGATGCTTCAGTTTGAAGCCATTTCCTCTAGTCCTATCCCTGCCCACCACTGAAAAGAGGCCGCCCCCCTCCTCCTCACTGCCTCCCTTGAGGTATTTATACACGCTGATCAGGTCCCCCCTCAGCCTCCTCTTCTCCAGGCTGAACAGGCCCAGCTCYCTCAGCCTTTGCTCAYAGGGCAGATGTTCCAGGCCTCTGATCATCCTGGTAGCCCTGCGCTGGACTCTCTCCAGCAGCTCCACATCCCTCTTGTACTGGGGAGCCCAGAACTGGACACAGTCTCCAGATGTGGCCTCACCAGGGCTGAGTAGAGGGGGATGATCACTTCCCTCGACCTGCTGGAGACGCTCTTCTTAGTGCATCCCAGGATCCCGTTGGCCTGCCTGGCCACCAGGGCACACTGCTGCCTCATGGTCAACTTGTCGTCCACCATGACACCCAGGTCCCTCTCTGCGGGGCTGCTCTCCAGCAGGTCCACCCCTAATCTGTACTGGTGTCCAGGGTTATTCCTCCCCARGTGCAGGACCCTGCACTTGCCCCTGTTGAACCTCATGAGGTTTCTCGCCGCCCAGTCCTCCAGTCTGTCCAGGTCCCTCTGGATGGCAGCACAGCCCTCAGGGCTATCAGCTACTCCACCCAGTTTGGTATCGTCGGCAAACTTGCTGAGGGAGCACTCCAGCCCTTCATCCAGGTSGTTAATGAATAAGTTGAACAGGACCGGACCGAGAACTGACCCCTGGGGGACACCACTAAGTACAGGCCTCCAGCTGGACTCCGCACCATTGACAACCACTCTCTGCACCCTGCCATCGAGCCAATTCCTAATCCACCTCCCTGTTCACACATCTATCCCACACCTTTGGAGCTTGCCCAGGAGGATGCTGTGAGGGACAGTGTCAAAAGCCTTGCTCAAGATAAACCTGTTGTGAATCCCTCTGCCTAGCACTCTCCACCATACATTGTTCACAGGGATGCAAATGCTGCTGCTATTGCCTGGTAGGGCAAGCAACCCTCCCACTGCTGTCTTTGAGTTCAGTGATGCCGTTGTGGTACCCACCTTTCTGTGCATTGAAGAGTAAGAGCTGAGCTTATGCATAGTGCCAGGGCTTGCTTTTAGGCTATTTTGTTGTACCCATTTCTTCCACATTATCATTTTATGACTGGTTTCATTATTCATGCTTTCTGTTTGATTGGTTTTGTTGTGCTATTGTCTAGTAGCACCTATATATCTGTGCAGTGCTGTCAGAAATTCTCTTAAGGTTATTCCTATCCTACAAAGCTTATAATGTAGCAGTGRCAATTGTATTGTAAAGAAACATTTCCTGGGAGAATGTTGCTGCACAGATTGTAATGTTTATTTTTAATGGCCATCTAGTCTGCGCATATCTAGTAGCGCCTGATAGAATTGGTATGAGTGACTGTGGAACTGTCTCCATAAAAATAATTAATGATGGACACTGGTAGATATTTATTCGCATGACCCTTTAAAAAGAGAGTAGGAAATCTTATGGTTATTTTCTGTTTATTTAGAACAGAGGTTGATGGGCAGCAGTTGGAGTAACTTGCTGAACAAAGCATCAACTTGGAGAGGAGAAAAGAGCCCCCCCAAAAAACACAAGCAAAAAAACCACAACTCAACTCAAGCAACGAACCAAAATACCTTTGAGGTTTAAGTCAGTGGTTTTGGAGAGAGAAATCAGTGAAAAATATGCTAGGAATGTGAAGTAAAATCTAAGAATCTGATGAAGAATCATGATTTGAAAAACAGAAGTGTGTTTAAAGAATAGGACAAAACTAAACTAAAACAATAACAAGAAACAGTAGCAGTTCATTTTGGTCACTATAGGAAAATGAGTTGGAAGCATCCAAAGAATAGAATAGTAAGATACCGAGTATCTTTCAAAGGAGCCAGTATCTCTTTTTTTTTTTTTCTAGCAAACTGCCTCCTACAGCTATGTTTATATTACGTGGTGCTGTCACTTCTGTGCATCAGATTTTTATTTTTCTGTTTCTTCATGTTCCTAAGGAAGGAAGAAAAAAAAAAGRAGGACTGTAATAACTGTATTCTATATTACCTCTGAACTGGATGCTGCTACTGCCTTTCTGAGTGCAATGAATTATAGCACAGATGTGTGTCTGTTTAATGAATTATTTTTTCCAAAATAACCTAAGTAATGTCACAACATATTAGAATCAATGACAGTATCTTATTGTAAACATAGGAGATAACAATTGCAGGGAAAATTAGTATCTGCSATTAAGTTAACTGCCTGTAGTTTGAAAAAGACTCAAAAACTTAGGTAAGCTTTTGAGTACATAGGCCCTTCTTAAGTAGTATCACTAACACGAGCAATTTTTGCTAAGTGGCAATAATGCTAATTATTTTAAATAAAGGAAAAAGAGAAGGAAGACTGAAGAAATGCACCCGCTTTGTAACTACATTTGACAGCATTTACACTTGCATTTACCATCTCCAGAACTGGCTGTCATGGACTCATTCATACGAGACTGTCGTGGCATTTAAGCCATGGTAAGTTTGTTAGCAGGAAACAGGTGGGCTATGATTGTAGCCCATGAGTGTTGACACAGATAGATATGTGTGTGTGGTATACATATATATATATATATATATATATATACACACCTCAGGACACCTCAGTGACCTGCCTACTTCAGCCTGTTGGCGCTCGGACTTGAAGTGTTTGGCACGTCTGCTTTACACTGTAGTCACTAGTATGCACTATAGGTGCACAAGCACCTATACTAATAGCAGCACAGGACATTTAAACCAACCACAGTGGCTTCAAGTGCATCTTCTTGTCTTAGCTATAAAATAACCTTGCCCCTCTCTCAAACGTACCTGTATATGTAGTTCTGTTCTTACTCTTCAGTCTAGATATAGCGCAGCACTCTGAATCAGTCTGAAGACTGTTCTGCAAAGCCAGAGAGGTGGGACTGAATAAAGTTAACCTGAATAACCTCTCAGTCCTGATAGCTGTGTAGTCAGTATTTTTTTCTACCAGCATGAAGGAAATAACAGCTCATCTACTTCTTCAGAAGAGTAAAGCACTAGAGGGAAAGATGCTTGGTACTGCTTGTCAAGGAAAAGCAAAATAAACCAGCTTTGCTGTGAAACTTCTAGCCTTGACTACCAGACTGATTCTCTCAAGAAGAGAGAAACATCTTTTCTGTCTCCCCTGTGCATATTATTAAATGACCCTGTAACTTCCTTTTTTTTTTTTTTTTTTCTTTTTTTTTTCTTTTTCCCTCTGCTGCTGTGGTACTTTTTGGCTGTTTTTCACCAGCAGAAAGGGAATAGGTTATAATAATGTTGTAGCATCAATGCTGTCGTGTTTACAGTAGCCTTAGCCCCAAAATAACAATTTGATTAACAGGACTCTTTCACTTACTAGAATTAAAAATACATGGATTTTCCAGGGATTTTATGCTGTGAGGATGATTCATATTTTCCTCTGTATTTTTAGCTGTGTATCTCTGCAGGAAATATGTAGGGATGAAATATGTATAAAATCTTCACTATTAGATGAGAGCAAAAAATTAATGCAGTGAGTCATCACAGTCATTCCTGCGTGTGTTTATGATCAATAAGACCTATGGAGTTAAATATAAGTTTTATTTTGTTTATTCCCCCCTGTAGTTGTTATCAGGGAGATGCGACATTTACAATTTTGATATCTGAACCCTCACAAAGGAGGCTTTGAAAAATTTCTGACATACAAAATACGAAGTTTTAATGAGAGTTTTAGAGAGAAACCGATCATTCATAGTGCAGTGATGTAAGCTACTTTAGTAGAGTTGGGATTGCTGCAATCTGAAACGATTGCTAAATGGTATTGAATTACCTGTAGAAAGGAGGTTTCATTGCTTTAATTAAATTAGTCATAGCTAGAGAGATGTCTTTAAATAATAAAACATTTCCTCCCTTTCTTTTATAGATTCTTTTGCTTGTAGTTATATACCCCCATGAAGCTATATATTGGCAGTAATAACGAAGTAAGCAGAGATATATTCCCTTTGCCAGAGAGCTAAATCTTGACCCGAATGAGGTTAGTGGGAATTTTGCCACCAACATCAGGTCTTGAAATGAAAAATGCAACCTCTGGTTTCACGTTTTCTAGCATGGGCAGTTCTTGTGACAGTCAACTCAGAGTCTTACCAGTGCCATCTGTATCACATGCAGAGACATGAAGGTTTTTAGCAGAAGAGTGAAACAGAAGCTTCTTTTCTGAGTCAAGTTAGACTTTACTTCGTTTTGTAGCAAGGCTTATATATTTATATTCGACTCCATTTTAATCATCTTAGTAGCATGAGAAGATAAAATTATTTTTAGCAGATATAAAAAAAAAAGTCATCTCTATTGCTGGAATTTGATTATGGCCTTTTAGGCATTCGTTGCTTCTAATTTTTCTATTTCTAAATTTTTATCCCTTCACGTTGCAATTATTTCTGTCCCCTGCCCCTTATAAAGCACTTCCCAGAGAGAACTATAAATGTGCATCCTACTTTCATTCCTCTTGCTTCCAGTCTATGTTAATTTTCTGGTTATTGTATTTTTGAAGTTGATTACATTCGAGTATTTGAATGACTTCTAGCTTATTCCTTGCCTTAAATAACTGCAAAAGCGACTTAATTCTGTGGTCTTATTTCAGCTTTCTAGCTGTTGCCCAGGTGCTCTAGATGATTCGTGCTCATGGTTCATCCCAACCGCGTGTCCTCTCTCTAACACAGACCGTGCAAACACAGCAGTGACTTGAGGAAAGCTGTTCTGTTTTGTCTCCGTAGAAGTACTGCAGCACAGTCCAGCTGGATTCGGGAATAGACTACAGGAAACGAGTGCTTCCTGCTGCTGGCAAACTTTACTACCTGTAAGTTGATCTGTGATGAGGCATTTGCCTTCCTCCTCCTCCTTATTAGCCATTAATTTCCTAGTCAATAGGAAATGAAAAAATGTTTAATGTAATTAGCAGGGTGTGACTTTTCCTTTCTCTGCCTTCTGGTCCATTTTGTTCAGCAAACCGCCTTCCATTATGCCTTGATATTAACTTCATTAAACTACATTTTCAGTATCCACATGAGCATCATTTATAGTGTGTGACTGAATAAAAACTAATTAGATTTTTTGGGGAGGTGTGGTGTTTGGAGAACTGAAGTGACAGATGGTTAGAAAGTAATGAATATCCTCTTGTAAGGATTGCACAATTCTCTTATAATAGAAGAACATCCTTATTGTATTTAAGCAATTAAGTATTTATAGAAATCCAATGACAAGGATTCAGTTAATGTTGGGTGTTTCCAGTGCAGTGGATTAAAAAACTCTTATTTTGACAGATTAATTGTTTCTGTTTATCATGACAAATTTACTTTATCTCTTTAGCCTGTATTTGCAAATAAAACATATATTTAAAGAATACATTTACAGTTGTTCTTTCAGTTATATTTCTATATGATGAAAACATCTTTTTGATTTAAAATAACCTCAATGATAGTTTAAAGTGAGGTTTATAATCATAGTATATTTCAGTAGAATGTTTAGTATTGTTTTAAATATAATGCATGTTTCCATTAATAAAGGCACAGTATTTTTAATGAGGTGATGGATGTTTGAGGTGAAATATGCCCTGTTGACCTATTGATTGTAGCTGTTTGTGCGAAAAAGGAAGTGCTGCCTAGTAAAATTAAAACAGTGAATTATTTCTGAAAGGTGCATTTTATAAAATGGGAAACCAAATGCTGGTTTCTTCCTCATTTTCCTTGCTATGCATGTCCCRAAATGTAATTCCTTATTACAACTGTTAAGGTCTCCCATCTTCCCCTGTTATTTGCGCGTGCGTAGGCACCAGCTCAATTCTTTTTATTCCAGAAGGCAATGAGAACCTTCTCTATATACAAAAACGTATGTTAAAGTMTTCAGAGGTTTGTATCCACCACAAGGTGTGACCCTATAAGCTCAGTATGCCTTGCATCCCGAGAGCTAACTCTTGCTTCTTACTCTTCCCTGGTTCCTGCTGCTTTRATCAACTTTCCCCATGTTTTCTTAGAGCTCCTGTTTGCCCAACGTGGCCCTATGTCCTTAGCTCCTGGAGAGCAGGGAGAGCGGGAATAGGCCGCAGGAGCAGCGTCCCRTGGGCCTGGGGTTCCACTGCAGAAGATCTGCTGGGAGGATCCTGCTTGTTTCAGTCTGTCCCTTGGTCTGTTGTTGGGAGGATCCTAGTTGTTTCTAGAGCTCTTCATACAATGCACTAGGAGGGAGCAGTGAAAAAAAAGGGGAAAAATACTTCAGAAATAGGATACTTGTTTGATCTTCCGTTCCTTCAATYTATCTGTCTTTGGCAGAATTGCATTTGTTTTTTTCAGATTTGTTCTTTGGGATATTCAATCCTTCACCACCCAACTTAATGTTCTGGGTTTTTTCTTTGTTTGTTTGGTTTTTTGGCTGTTTTTTTTTTTCCCTCTTTTTTAATAATGCATTGCAAAATATTTTCCCACAGATTTTTAAAATTTGTTTCAATCTTTTCCCCAGAAGAAAATGTTCTTGGCCTGCATGTTTACATACTGCTGTTAATGAATATAGTATCTTTTTTTTTTGCTTTGCTTTCAGATGATGTTAAAACAGCTTTAACCAATCTCTAGTTTTATATTTTAAATGAAGAAAAGACTGCACAGATTAGGAATCAACAAGAGGATTTTTAAAAAAAAAAAAACAATGAATGTATCATAATAGCAAGATTCCYGATCAAAGCAAATCCCTTGATCTCAGTCTCAGGTGCCTGTTTTCTGAACAGATCTTCCTGACACCATATTTGAGCATTTCTTCCTGTAGCCTTTACATCAAACTTCTTCGTACAGTACATACACTGATATAGACATGCTCTTTCCCCTTTGAGGACTTGTTTCTGGTTTTGTCTATTCCTATTCAGTTGGCATTTTGTCACAGGAAAGCACTGCTGAAATATCAGTGGTAACAGAGAAAAATTTTAGGAAGTTATAATTTTAATTTACATAAACTTAAGTCATTATAATTTCCTATTCAGAAAAGGCCTTTTAAGCTTTTGAAATGTCATTTACTGAACACTTGTGGGGTTTTTTGCTTTTTTCCTTGCTTTTCCCCCTTTCCACATTATGTTACTCATACCAGCTTTGCTGTAGCTCATCTTGGGCTCAGAAGTAGCTTAAATACAGTTCTCTTGGTTGTGTTTTAAGGTGTCTAGGGCCTAATGAAGAGGAAAGTTGCTGTATAACATGTTGCTCATCTAGACCTCCTCTAAATAAGGTGTGAACTATGCTAAGCAATGCAACTTGAGTGCGTCCATGGTCTAAGTCAGTTGAATTTTGTATAATCTAGTTTGTGTTAAACTTTAGCAAAGTTTTATTTAAATATAGTATACTGTAGCTTTAACTTACTATACCTGGTTTTCAAACTCAGTTTGATATTTATTATTATATTATTATTTATCTTCTTTCTTAACGAACRATGTATACAATTGCTGGCCATAAAAACTCTATGGTGATGAAAAATATTCTTCAGTCAATGGTTTGTAATCCTTATGGATTCTTGTGGATATGAGTGTGAACTTTGCTTAGGCTCTGAGCACAGATGTTTTCTGTGGGGCTTTCCTGGCTGTGATTGATCTTTTCCTGATCACATCTGGGGAAATAAAAAGAAGAAAAAAAGAAAAAAAAATAATGCAGAGATTATTCCAGTATTTTAACTTAATAGTTTAATTTTGCAAATTGTGTTTGATTGATAGAGTTGGTTGACTTGATTTTTTTTTTCCAGAAAGCTACTCCAATATTTAATTTCACAAAGTCCTTGCTCGGAAATTTGAAAAGATACTTCTTTAGATGCTTGACTGCCTTGCCTTGCCTCTTTGCTCTTATTTTGCATGCAAGATAGAGCCAGAAGCCTTTTCTCTTTGTGTACACGTAGTGTTAATGGATCTGCTCTGCCTGTATTGCCTCATTACTGGAAACAGCTCAAAACACTGAAGTCTTTCAGTGTATGCAAATAAGGCAGAATCATCTACCTGAGAGTTAATATTCTCTACTTTTAAGTGTATTCTAAATCTAATGTTTGGATTTAGAGCATAACATCCTGTTCTCTCTCTTTTTTTCTCTCTCTCTTTTTTTTTTATGGGCAAAAAGCTAAGCAGGCTCAGGCAGCTGTTTGATGTTGGCTTCAAGTGTTATTAATTTCATATTCTATTATTCTTTTCACTGTAGCACAAGTGAAGCTGATGTGGAGGCTGTCATGGATAAGTTGTTTGATGAGCTGGCTCAGAAACAAAATGATTGTACGTAAGTTAATTTCTCTTGAAAGAGAATACATTTAGAACACAATGCCCAATCTCCACTGACCAATTAATAAGTTCCATTGCTGTATATGGGTTGATGCCACACTCAAGTGGCAGTCATTGTATCAGCATTTTGTCTAATTTATGTGTTGAATCATGTGCTATTATTCATCAAGCTATGCATTTCCTATCTGTAAGAGATGAATTTTATAGTAATTATCCAGAGAAGATTGAGTCTTTGTTCGTGTTCCCATAGTAACTAGACCAAGGATTCTGAAAGTGCAAGGCAGAGAGCTGAGGCTGAATAAAGCGTGTGGAACCATCGCAGACTTCACATTTGAAGAGCTGTGTGACAGAGTGAGTACCCAGGCAAATCTAGATCAGTTAACGCTCAGACTTCTCACAGGTAAATAAGGAAAACCATAAATCCCCCCTTGCTGTCACACTAAGTCATACCAAGTTGAAAGGGCTTTCTAAATTTGCAAAAAGAACCACCTCCCCCAAAAGAAGTCATTTGCTTTTAATGATACAGTAAATTCACTGTAATTATATCATGGATTACCTTGAAAAATCCAAATAGTTGTGTCCAGTGTGACATTGCTGATGGAGTATGAGTAGTCACAGTGTATCAAATTGTAAATGGTATTCAAATACTCATTTTAAAATTGGGATTGAAGTTGGTGCTCAAGCAAAGGAGTAGTGATCCTGACCTGTGGAGTAATGGGATGCTGCTGCCATTGCATGCCTTAGTCACGGATAGCTGCAGACATGCTGCTCAATCCCACGCCTTTCCAAAAATATCCCCAAATATTGCTAAATACCACCATTTTCACTGATATGTTTGTGTCATGATTGTAGCTGGGATATGATCCTTGAAATACTGTGTGTATTTGTGACCCCAAGTTGGTTTGGTTAAAGGCCTTCTAAAGCTGAGCTCTGCTGCAGCAGCTTCTCTCTTGACCCCTGAAGTTGCTGTTAAGCCATCACAACTCTAAAATGGGCTTATAGCATCTTTTATTCAGGATTTTAAACACTTCTTTAATTATAAGATCATGTTTTCACTTGCATGTAGCTACAGAGGTTCTAATTATTTGAGTAGGAAATTCACTGGCTGTGTTTCAGGTCATCAGTTTGGGTTTTGTTGATCTTTACTTTCAAACAAATCCAATTCACCTTTATGTGAAAGGAAATGTGTCATACATAGAACAACATACTGCTCACTAGAATTTTTGAGACTTTTTCTTAGGTGTGTTACAGTATCTCTGAAAGTATTAAGGTAGTGTGACAATGCTGTGAGCACATGCATGTTCCTTAGCCTAATATGTCCCTCTCAGAGTTACATGGGATGGTGAATTGCTGCTGATGAGACGTTCTCTGAAAGGTGCTGATCTGGGGGGAACTGTGGGGTCAGGAACATTTTGGTGTAAAGGACTTAAGCTGCTTGGCTTACCATGAAAACAAGCAAGAGTTCTTAGGAGGCAACACTGAGGAGGGAAAAAAAAGCGCATATAAACAGTCTTGTAATGTAGATCACTCAGAAATTTGGAAGTTATGCTATCTTATTCAGATACCTTCTTCAGATCARTTAAAATAGTCTTTAATAGGATAATCACATATGTAGAGTTGAAAAWTGACAAAGTAACAACCTCCTCAATCATTGTGAATATACTTTATTCTGTTTACTTATGACTGCCTTCATTTTTGCCTTCAAACAATTTCTTACATATAATTTCTTGGTTTGTCCTGATTTTTCTCTTTGGATCACTGGTTTATCTCCACAGATATAATCTTAAGGTATTGGTGAGATGATATGATTGTGCTCACTTYGTAGATAGAGAAGTTAACTAAGAACTTCAAAATTCTTTGATTTGAGTGGCTGGCTTGAGGTGCCTCTAACCTCATTTTTGTAAAGTTGTTTAGCATTGTATGTATACATATAATAAGAAATTACTATTGACTTGAACTGCTTTTAAGAGTTTAACCCTTCAGTGAATCAAGCCCCTTAAAATTAGGAATCTGGAAAGTTGCAAAATTGGATAACATTCTCTGAGAAATTTGGAGTTAACTGCTATTTCTTCTTTCATTTTGCTTCATTCTCCCCTCCCTATGTCCTTTAAACTCTTCATTAAAGGCAAAAGAAAAGTCCAGGATGGATTCAGTTGTCAAACCCCCAGCCTGTGTTTCTTCTGCCTAAAATCTTCCAGTGTTTTGTTGGAAAATTGTATAAAACACTTTTTTTTTTTTTGACAAAATGGTAAGTCGCTCCCAGTGATGCTACAGTAGAAAAAGGAAAATTAGGTAGGATCCCAAAGAGCGCACACATGACTTGCAGCCAAAACCAAGTGAAACCAAACCAAGAACTAAGCAAGACCCCAAATCAGAAGGCATTCACGTCTAGAAATATCAAGTCCTTTAAATTTACTGATGCAATCTGGATAATAAATCTTCCTGTTTGTGGATGGCTAAAAGCAGAAAGCTGCAGGGGATACAGCTGTAAGGTATTTGTTAGTGATTATAGTTTGGATGGTAGAAAATTGGCGGGCATCTCAAGTGCCTCTATCTTAAAAAGGAAAAATAAACCCAACAGTGGAAGGAGGACAGGCAGAATGTGRGGCTCGAGGAATGTGTAATGAGAAGGAAGATAGAATATATTGGAGGGCAGTTGAAGTCCTGTGGGAAAACAGATTGTGTGGATGGAGGCTGATGGGRAATGTGAGTCCTAGCTGGAACCTGTAGCCGCCAGGAGGGTGCTCTGGGTAGATGTGTGCAGTTGAAATTGGTTTGTTAAGAGCATCTGAAACACAAATGAATGTGGATGAAATACAGAAAAAAAAAACCCATAAACTCCATAAAATGTAATTAGCCTAAAATGACACCCTATATTTAGCATAAAAAGTCCTGCATGTAGTACAAGATCATTTTTGTTTGGAGTTGCTTTATGGTAGCAGGTAGTGATTTGTTCATCTATAAATTTGTGGTTATTCAGGCACCCTCTTCATAATTTTCTTATGATCAATATGACCAAAAAGTAGTTCCAAATAGTGACATTGCCCAGTTGAGGGTTTAGAGTGATTTTCAAACTCACAAGGAAAGTATGACCAAAACTAACTGGAATGGAAAGTGTAAACAAAAAAATATGAATCAGAAGGACTTTATGAGGAAGAAGATGTTAAAAGGATACCCGGCGTCACTGTCAAGAGAGAATGAAACAGTACAGAATGAATGGCAACTAATTAAGAAATGCAGAAAAATTAGAGAAGCTAAAGGTAAGGGAAAAGTGCCACGCATGCCCACATATAAGGTTTCTAAAGTAAACTGGGATTTTTGATACAGTTTTAATTATCTGAATATTATCTGGCTTATTCCTAGATGGAGGTGGCTAAGCTTTAAATAGCTTTGTGGAAAAGTGAAAAGGGTTTTCTTAAAATATTGTGTTCAAAATGAAGCAGAATGAAATACTTGTTTTGCTAAAGGTAGTAAAATAATTTTCAGTATGTTAATTACTGTAGAGCRTATTAAAAAAATACCCTGCAAATAGATTTCAAGTCACCAGAAACCTGGAAAAGAAGTTTGAGATCTCTGATCATTCTTTGTTTTTCAGAAATATTGGAATACAAGAGAAAGTCCAGAGTGCTAGAGAGTGTTAGTAATATATCAATATTAAAAAAGAAACAAGCAAACCAAAGCTGCACAAGCAGGATGACCTGGATAACTACAGACTGTCAATCACTAGTTTCAGACAATAGACCATTTTTAAAAATGGAAACAAAGAGAATTCCTGTTTGCCTAATTTTGTCAAAAAGGTGGACTTTTATACTTTCCATTGTTATTAAAATATTGGCMTTATGCAATGTCAACACTGGACTAAATGGACTGAGAAGTTAGCTAAATAACATACAAAAAGAAACGCTAGCAAAGGATTCTTGTTGAGGATAGCATTTCTAATGAACTTCCACAGATCTTCCTAATACCTTTTTTTTTWAAATTTCTTTCCAACAGTTTCAAATATAACATAAATACTAGTTCAAATTAGTTGCAAATCCAAAGGCARCCATGTGTATGACAGGAGGGAGGAGGAAATGAAAACAAGGATGCCAAGTGCAATAGGCAATGTCCTGATGGAGCTAGTGGTTTTGTTGTCAGAATTTTAGAAAAGGCATTAAAAAATCTGAAGAGACAAGGGAAAGCCATGAAAGCTGCAAAAATTATTGGAGCTAGAGAATTTGGAGAATCAAATTAAAGACTTCAGAGCTCAATTTGTTGAGTTTATCAAAAAGAAGATGGAAAGGTGATTTCTAACGAAGTGCTGCCTTCACAAGAAAAAAAAATAGAGGCATTAATTAATTAATTTCTAGGTGTATCAGRACATCATGAAGACCAGATGCTACAGAAATAGAGATAAAAAAAATGTATACATATATATARTTATGTTTGAAACAGTAAAGTAAATGGCAAAGCCCCCTTGTATTATGTTTCAGTTCAAAACTGAGTATCATTCTAGCTTTRTTTTTGTCCAAACTTAGTTTTGTACAGGTTTTTTAGACTTAGCTGTCTGTACAATTCAGGAAACTGGAGGATTTCCTCGTTGCTCCCATTCTTACCCCAGATCTGCAGGTGAGAGACTCGAGGTCCCTGGCGTGGCCAGTGTCTCTGCAGCAGCTCCGGGCAACAGGCCCAGTCCCTCCGACGGGACAATGTGGCCTGTAGCCACCTGCCTTCAACCTGGTCACCCTTGTGGCAGGTGGATCTTTAACTGCTGCAAATCTAGGTAGTGAGTGCCCACCACAGTTTGCTGACACTTAAAACTTCCCTGGATTCAAGCAGAGCTTCACAAAAAGGTGAGACGTATCCCTGATACCAGTGCAACCTTTTTTTTTTTCCCCTGTTTTGACATTCTTGGTCCACAGCATGGGCCTACAAGTCCTCTTTGAGCCATGAGTAAAACCAAGTTTAACTTGAGCACCAAGGTCCATATCAGCCTCACAGTAACTGACTGAAACTTCTGCTAATAGACACGTGCTGACACACACGGATGTACGTTCCTATTCATATGATCAGTTTGAAGCATCCATTTGGAATGGAAACCTGTAGTGTAGAGAATATAGGAAGCTTWTAAGATGAAATCTGGTTTCATAATGGAAGGTAGATACTAATTCTGTCTGAATTTTCTTTGCCCATTTCCTATCTGGTAAACACACTACGAAAGACTGGATGAAGATACTCTTGTGTTGTCACCATCTTCTGACAGAAAACATGATACAATTGGGTATCATACAATACATAATAATGCAGTTAATATTAGTTAAATTTCTTTCTTCTAAAATTCATAATTCTGAAAACATTGTATGGTTTAGTGA